CCCCAAAACCCCAAAACCCCAAAACCCCAAAACCCCTCAAGAGAGATAATTTTCACATTATTATAATCAAAATATAATTAAATCAATGAACGAATTATCTGATTTGTCTAATTAAATTCCAACTTATGGAGAACCTAAAAAAGATTTAGAAAATTCTTCTATAAATACAACTACTGATGAAACCTAATATGTTTAGACTTAGAGGTAGAACAACTAGCCACAGAAGAACTGCATAGACAAGCTGCTTGAGTACTTTAACATTGACCATTTGGACTTTAGCATATTTTAGGAGTGTGAGTAGAGAGACTCAAGAACTCTTCTTATTCAAATGGAATAATTAAAAGGTGTTGGAAGATTCTTTGGTATGATCTTGATAATGCTCTCTGTAATATACTTTGGAACTAGAATCTAGAGTTATGTGGAACTGCAGGATTACAAGGAAAAAAACAATAAAGTTCTAATTGGAAAAACTAGCGATATTTACGACAATTACTAATTGCTTCACTTCATCACGATTGCTCATAGTTTTACCACTATCATGATATCTGGTTTTATATACAAGATGATGAGGACAGAAAGGTTTATGGATAGAAGGCAATACATATTCTTGGCTTTAATGACAAGCATCATCACCTTCCTCTATTACTTTTCACTTTTATATATGGTTTGGAGAGGTGCTCAGACAGCCAAAGATAGTTCAGTGTTAAGCATATTTGAGCAGATTGCTAACATAATAGGAAGCATATCAACTAATGATGTAGCCTTTATATTCGCCATAACTATGAACTTTGTTTTGCTGTTTGGTCTGTATTGCATTAATGGTGTCTCTGTTTTGCTTTCTGATATTGCTAGAAATCTTGAGCAAAGACGCACAGGTGGTAGAAGACAAAATGAGTTAGAGTTAAATAGATTAGTTGGAAAATGAATAGGACAATTAAGGAGGTTGATTGAATACTTGAAATTAGCTTAAAAGATAACTTTATGAAATTTTTATTAATGTAAATGTGTTTAGTGATTCATACCTCACGGATTTTCAAATTTCCGTATATATTAAGTCATAAATTGAATTCAAATATTCCAAATAATCATCATATTCAAAGTTTTATAAGCGGTTAGTTGGTTTATAAATTTAGCTAAAATAATCATTCTAGCTATTTCTAATTGGAAGTATACTTCGGCCTCTCCTAGTTAATCCTGGCTTTTACTATGGATTATATCAAAACTTACTACTGTTTTTTATCGATGAAATTCTAATGAAAAGACTTATTGACATTAATCTTTGGTAGTTATATAGAGTTGCTATTCAAACTATTATTCGCTCCAACACTGTTCTCATGCCTCACATTTATTTCTGATTTATTTAGTTTGTTACTATTCATATCACTGCTTGCATTGCTCTCTACTTCCTTTTTCTGATTTATTATCATAGAGTTGCTTGAATTTAGCAATCTATTTTTTAGAGAAATGCTATCTATATCTTCTTTCATACTAATTAATCTCTATAAATGCTATTTGAATCTCTAATGATGCTGCTTTTAGGGCATTTCTTTTTTCTCAAAGGAAGGAGTCTCTATTTATTAAATGGATTTTGAGAATGACACACCATTTTATTTGTTAGTTGGATCAGTATAAATCTTTTCAGGTGGGGTTTTGTATTACTCCAAAGGTACATTCTGTATTTCTGATTTTTAATCTGGAATTATTCCTGCTCCCACTCTGTTTCTCAGATTGATTTTATTCAGTTTACCAGAACTTAGCTAAGGAGTTAATTCTACTGGCTTGATACTTATATTTAATTGCTCGTGTGAAGGCATGCTCTACTCAATCATTTTTGAGTAACGTCTGTTGTCGTTATTGTATTTTCTATGTGTCAATATGAGTCCATTTTGAATATGATGAAAATTCTTGTGAGACTATGAATTCTATGAAACTTAATCATGCATGATCATATCGGTATTCAAGCTTGATTTCTCATAGCCTCCGTTATAATTTCTGACCATAAGGTTATTTAATGGAGGATTCGCGATACTTTTATTTAATTCACTATTTTCTCTACCGTTGATAGGGGATAAAGAATTTGAATTAACAATTGACTTTGAATCTTATTCTATCATAGAATGACCTACCTTTTAAAGATACCTTCTAGATTTCTACAAGATTGATTCCTTAAATCTTGATTAAATACTTGGCATCTAATTCATATTAAGTGATACTTATTAGTCATTATAAGTATTATTAGTTTCCTAATTATTTTTGCTTGTATTTGTGTTACTTGTATTCTGAATTTGCAATTGCACATTATTTCTAGTAGCAGTCTAGGTCCTTCCATTCTATGCAATTTTTTATAAGTAATTAGATTTTCGAATTTCAGCGTTTCTGCTTGCAATATTTTGTATAGAAATACTATACTTTTTATCTGTAAACCTATTTTTATTATCAAAACTTCCTTAGCCTAATCCTTAGTTAGAATTAGGTTGGAATTTCAGGCTTTCATGATCTAAATTTGACCCTACCATGATATCGGATCTTTTAATAGTAACTAAGCTTAAAGAACTTTGAACCTTTTGCATTGCTTGGTTATTACGTGTAATTTTTAATCCATATTCACTCATATTTGAATTATTTTGGTCCTCATAGGGTTGTAGCATAGACCTAGAGTCAACTAGGATATCTGGTACTTTCCTACTAATTGATCCAACAAGGGGGCTGGACTCTTTTTAAGATTACTTAACTGGGTTTTAAGTGATAGCAATTACTCCATTAACCCCTGATTTGTCAAGGAATCCTGTTCTGCCTTTGAATCTATCTTTAAAATCCATTTTGCAAACTGCTTATAAATTAATTTTATTCTCTACTATTTTGGCATATTATTTAAACACGGGGTTTTGGGGTTTTGGGGTTTTGGGGTTTTGGGG